CTACATACGACCTCGCTCGAATTACATCACACTCGACCTCGCTCGAATTACTTCACACTTGACTTCGCTCGAATTACTTCACACTCGACCTTGCTCAAATTACTTCACACTCGACCTCGCTCAAATTACTTCATATTCAACCTCGCTCAAATTACTTCATATTCGACCTCGCTCGAATTACTCTACATTTGACCTCGCTCGAATTACTCTACATTCGACCTCGCTCAAATTCTTCACATTCGACCTCGCTCGAATTACTCTATATTCGACCTCGCTCGAATTACATTACAATTCGACTACACCAAAATACTACATGCAAAAGGCCGAAAAGTCAGGGACTCCCCCACATAACAAACAAAAAGGAAAAAAGAAAAGAGAACGAGAATTTGGAAATACAAAGCAAAAAGGCAATTGTTCCATTTTAATCGACGAAAGGGCTCAAGAACGCCCTCACAAAAATAACAAAGCAAAAAAAAAACTAAGTACAAAAGCTTCACACCACATCGTCCCCACCAACATACTCGTCATCATACCAAGGATCAGAGGCAAGCCTATCCCCGACATCGTCATCATCATCCCCGCCGGGTGTACCAGGGTCATAACCACAAGCTTCACGAGCGGCACATACCTTAGAATGGACGCCCTTAAGATTCGCCTTGGAGAACTTCCCGGCAACCTGCAAAGATTTGTACATGTCAAGTTGAGCCTCGATATGGACCCACATTTCGTACAACTCCCGCGCACACCGGTATCGATAGAAGTACGAGATGTAAATGGTTGTGCCTGTTGTTGTATCTTCTCGGCCCTCAGGGAAAAGACTTGCTCATTTAATTCAGACAGCTCAGCCTCCAAACCCATGATCCTCTCCTCCAACCTCGCCACCTTGAGCGCCGATGTCTCCGCCTCATTAGTCCGCTCAGACCTGAAAACACGGATAACGTCATCTAGGGTCGCCGCTTCAGCCACAGTGGCCATTCTACCTTTCTCGGCCCGACCCAATTCTTAGATCTTGGCACTCAGTTAATCCCTCAGACCGACAACCTTTGCCTTCCTCTACCCGAGTTCAACCATTAAAGATGCCACCTGCACCTGAAGGTCGGCATTTTCAGCCAACACCCCTTTACTCACCTCGAGCTCGTCCTCCTTGACCTTTAGTGCCACCTCAAGATCGCTGCACCTACTGATGACCCTCATGAGATCATCGTCCCTCTCCCTCAGCTCCACGTCCTTCTTCGTCAGCTCATCGTCCTTCTGTTTGATCCCATCACAAAGCGACTAAAACTCGCCATCCTGGCTGAGAAAGTCGGCCAGTGTTCAGTGATTGGTACGATACTCCTTGTACTTGGAGGTCACCTTCTTAAAAATAGTCGTCCTCTGCTTATCTTGCCAGTCGCGCTCAATCCCCATAATGAGAGTCTGACATGCGAAAAAAAGAAGAAGAAGTCAATGTGAGCATATCACACATAAGAAAGAAACTTAAACTAATATGGAAAAGCACTCACTCGCAGGGCCATGCCAGATATACCCAATGATAGATCCGCTTCTGTCATCGTTTATAGCGTCATATTCTTGGAAGCCGCGCATAGGGAATCAAAGGCTGGCACTGCCCGTTCTGAGTTGGCCATGAGGTCATAGTCCACTTGAATGACTATATGCTGATTGGGACCCTCCGTCTTTATCTCCACACGAGTCGCCCTCGCCACGAAGGTCTGTATCTCCTCAGGGTCGATGTCTAAGCCAGAGTTATCATCCTCCGCAGGGACAGTTCTACCTCCCCCAGCTGCCGACGATGAGCCGCCCTCAGCAGCTCGCGTGATATCTTCGCCACCACGAACCCCCCAACCTTATAGGGCCTCTTCTCCATGGTGGCACCCGCCGCAGAAACGGCCTCGATACCTGGTGTAAGCACTGATACCGCTTCCAAAGCAACGGATCTTACCGGCCCAACATCGGCAATAATGGCTTTTTCGGTCTCCACCCTTCGCCTTTTACTCGGCGATTCCTCCTCGCTGGCTCGTCCATAAGGTGGAAGATAGGCTGAGAAGAGATCTCATCCAGCATAGCAACAGTTTGAGGGGCGGAGTCCCTCATTGGTGTAACTTGAGCCCGACCTCCTCGAGCAATCTCAGCTAAAACAAACTGCATTCCAGCCGACACGATGGCTGGCAAAATGTAGGTACTAGAGCCTTCGCCTTTTTGGAAATTCGCCGACCTAGCACCAAAAGAAGGTCGCGTCAAAAGGCAATAGTAAATGGCAATAAGTTAAGGTAGAAATCACACTTAGTGGACAGAGTCTTGGGTCCAACGCGCTTGTGAAAGGACGCTCAGTCGTGAATTCCCATGGTTTGGGGTAACACGTGAGTCACCCAATCTTCAATATCGAAGACGGGAGAAGGTGCACGTCTCTCAGCTGAAAACAAGGAAGCCATGAAATTCGAAAACAAAAGAGAAAGAAAGAAAATAATGAACATACGGCAGGACGCTTACGATTATAATTCCATTGCTCGGGAAACTCGGTCGGATTCGCCACCGGTGCTCGATCTTGATGAAGAAGTATTTACGCCAGAATCGCCGATTCATCTTATCATCCATCCCGACCACCAACCCCTTGACCCTACAATGGCGCAGATGTATCAGCGTGCCTCTATAAAAGCTGGGCGAGAATAGATGCAACAGATGGAAAATATTGACCTTGCAGTCGGCCAACTCTGCATACTTCGCCAACATCATAAAAGCTTTGTATAGATAAGGGGAGAGTTGCACTGGGAAAACGTTGTAAAAGCGGAAAAACTCCTCCGCTAATGAGGGGGAAAGAGAATAATCGACTAAGAACGGGTAAACATAGAAAGCACAATATCCAGGTTGATGAACCTGTACTATGTCATCTCCCGCCGGGATAATCTCGGCGTGAGAGGGAATACTGTACTTGGACCGGAGGTCGGCTATTTGACACAGCCCCGTCTTAGAAAGCGGTTGAACACGAGTGAGAGCAGGTTCCTTTGGGAAATCGTGTTTGACTAGAGGATTCTTGGGAACCACCTCCTCTATAGTGGGAAAACTGTCTTTCTCCTCAACCACAAATTCCTCACCGCCGGGAAGAATGACCACCGATAAAGGAGTGGCATCGGTGACTCCGTTGTGAATGTGAGGGAAATTTGACAAATTTTAGTAGTAGAGTATATACAGTAAAGTCGGAGAAAAAAAATGTCAGCCGGAAAAGAAATCGGGGACTGAAATTGAAGAAATTGCAAGAAATCAGAAGTGGAGATCCAAGAAGAAGATCAAAGAAAAACGATATGCATACAACAAGGGGAATACTGGAAATTTCAAAAACGAAACCCTTCCTCTACTTATAGGGTTGGGTAACACCAGAATCGAGGTAGAAAAGCCGTCAACAACGCCAAAATCGAAGCAACAGAAGCACATACACTACATTAGGAAGACGCGTAATAATGACGTGCGTGGCATGACGTCATCCTACGATAGCCTCACCAACCGCAACCTCGCCTCCAGTTCGACCTCGGCCGATTCGATTCAATCATTACGACCAAATTTCCTCTGAACGGCTGCAGACAAGATCCGCTTATCAAGGACGTCCAAGATCACGACCTCAACAAGCGAAGGGACTAACTGTATTGGTCAAAATTTGGATTAGACTTAATAGCTGCAAATGGATATGATCGAGAATTAAACCGACCACGGCATAAGGGCGAGGAGTCATCTTAAGCGAGATTAGCGCCGAGGTCGAGCAACGGGTGTATGAAAATAACGGTAGGATAAGTTAGAATAGAAAGAAGGAATATTCCGTTGAATATTCTTTCAGTTGTACTTTTTTAGGGTTTTTCAGGGATATCCTCTATAAATAAGAAGAGATAAAGAACAAAAGGGGATCTCCACTTTTGATAAGAGAACATTGTAAAGGGTTGACAAAAGAGAATATACCAAAGCTTGTTCACTGATTACATTGTTCGATTTATGTTATTCATTCATAAGATCCAAAGATTCCTTACACGTGTTCATTTCTTACTCCCCCCCTCCCNTCCACAAGATCCAAAGACCCCTTACACATTTTCATTTCCTACCACCCCACGTTATTGTCAGGGAAGAAAATCGTCCAAGTCACCTAACATTTGGGTGATAAATCCCTTCTTATTACAAATATTGTCATTATCTACATTTATTGCATGCTTCTATTACTATATTCATTGACAATTATTGGTCATATACTTGACATTTATTGTTCTTAAACACGGTCTCATCCTATTCATATTTTTCAATTTTAGATCTAGAATTTATTATGTTTAACTAGGATTCACTCTCTATTTTCTCAATAATTGATTTAATAAAAAGCTCAATACTTTTTGATCAAACATCTGTTTTGCGGTAAACTAAGACAAGCAGTGTTAAGTGAAGGCACTGAAGGAAGGGAGTCAAGGACCCAAAAAAATTACATTTCATTTCCATTCTTCGATCCAGTTAAATCTAAAAGTAATTTTAATTACCTCGCTGATAGTTGTGTATATGTAAACTAGTTAAGTGAGACACCTACGACAGAACAGATGGAAGAGTATATACTACTTATAAATCATGGTCAATTGTCATATCTAAGAAGAAGAAAAAGAAAGTTAAGATTACAATGATGTGTTCTCTGTTAATTGGCTGCTAACCCTCAAGATCGAGATGCTAATGATATAGCAGGAATAATATTTCTTTTAGTTTTTAGTTAATTATCTCTACAATAAATAGTCACTAAGCTAAACTGTCTCACAATAAAGTAAATATAAAATTCAATTACTGTAATTTCAGCCAAAAAGAAAAAATTGCAAGAATTTTTGCGACAAAAATTATTACAGCGTTGAGACCATGTGATGTTACAGTGTTTCATCAGCCCCATATTGAACTTTAATCATAAAATACTGTCACTCTGAGATTCTTAGCAGAAGTATTATAAAAAAAAAGATTTGGTCTTCCTGTTTTGACCAGTGTAACTGTTTAGAATATTAACGAATCAAAACACTGATCCTAGCATTTTATTAACTACATATTAGCACATCTCACGAGCTAAAAAAGACAAAACTATTACAATATGTCGATGTTAATACAAGGCACATGTTACAAACAAAGCAAAACTGGGTTAGTATCTAGTTTCCTATGGCAAAAATTTGTGGAGGTAAAACAAAAAAATTATTTTGGTTTTCAAGGATTTGATCCGTGGAAAGGCTGGTAATTGTTGATTGGAGGTTTGTGACGGGGTTTGCTTCCTGATCCTGGACCTCCACTATAGTCCTTGTTCATCATGTTCAAAGACTCACCATTATCACACTGCATCTTGAAATTAAAGGGAAAGGAAATTGAGAGAAAATAATAGCATAGAAATTAGTCAAACTAGTCTCAAACAATTAATAGTGTATTATTATTAAATTTATTACGCATAATTAACAGGAGGGTTAAGAACAGTAACCTGATCCTGATGATGTAAGTTCTTTCGTGAGTTACCAATTGGATTGGCTGAACCAATGTTGTTTCCTGCATTGTAAACGATAAAATAACCAAATTCAGAAGCCATTTTTTTGTTTTACCCTTCCTTATTTCCAGCGAACTAGCTAGTTTCACGAAATGCAACAACAAACAACAACAACCCAGTATAATCCCACTTAGTGGGGTTTGGGGAGGGTAGTGTGTACGCAGACCTTACCCCTACCCTGGGGTAGAGAGGCTGTTTCCAAATAGACCCCCGACATCCTTCCCCTCCAAGAACTTCCCACCTTGCTTTTGGGGAGACTCGAACTCACAACCTCTTAGTTTCACGAAATGCAAATTAAATAAATAATCTGATTGAAGAATTTAGACACTTCATGAAACGAGGCAGGTAAAAGAACGGATGCAGTAGAAAGAATTGCGATACTCTTGCACATAATGAGAATTTGAAAATTCTTCTGAAATTTTCTATTGGATACATACAAGTATACTAGTCTTTTTCACAAAGAAAAACAACAGCTAATTAGATCTAAAATGGCCAAAAAGATTCTCTTGAGTTAATTCTCTGTAGCTAACTCAGTTATTCTTAGGAGGGTGCGGTCTTGCCATGTGATAATCAGCATTAACAGCGACGAAACTTCCTTTATTGACCTTCGACAATGAATGGCTAGTATTCAATTTACTTGACAGTAAAACTCTCAACTTATTCCCCTGCCTTTTATGGTTTAAATTTCCAACAGAATGTGTTACACTTGCACCTGAATTCTTTGAATCTTCCTCTGTCTTGATGCTACCTTCCACTTTCTTCATATTCCTTCTTTCTATCAACATTTTTCTTCCATCCATTCTTCTAGTATTGAGTAATACCTTCTCCACACTCTGATGACTCCTAGCTAGTTCCATGGCAAAACCATTTTCTGCTTCACGGACCATAACAAAGGTTTGCTTAGCTGCAGAAGAGTCAACTTTTAATTAGATTTTCATAGGAAAAAGAAGGAATTAATCTGTTGATTTAGTAAAAATTAAACATTTTTGTGGACTGGGAACAAAAGGAAAAAAAAAAGTAGTACGTACCTTGGTCAGTATGAGCAATTGAAACCTTTATGGCTGGGAAAATGAAAAACAGAACAAGCATAAAAGAACTAAAACTTAAGGACACCATTTTGACTATTTCTTTTGGTAAGGGTATGTATGTTACTGATCTGCAACAAAGGAGAGGATGCACATGAAAGGAAAGTTGGAGATTTATAGAAAGCCCAAATTCCAAACCCAAGTCAAAGCTAGGGTTAGAACAACTTAAATTTTTGTCATTGCTTAAAAAAATACTCTCCAACGAGTACTTTCCTTTTTAGTCTGTTTCAAAATAAATAACACATTTCTAAATTTGGAAATAATTCAACTTTAAACTCTTTTATTTTACTCATTTACCCTTAATGAGAAGCTTTTATAGACACACAAATAAAAATTGGAAGATGGTCTTTTCTTGGTAGTAGATTAATTTACCGGGATGTTAGGGAAAAGGGTTATGATTGCGTGGAATGGAAGATACAGTTGTCTGCCGCCATGCATGCTACGAGGATTAGTCTGTTTTGTTGGCCTATATATCTAGCCCTTTAACTAGAGTATTATCATTTTTAGCCCACATCAGAAATTATTTATATTTGATAGCCGAAAAAATGTATAAAATTTAATATAATTTTTGTATATAACATACATAATGTATATATATATATATATATACACAAAAAATATACAACTTTTTTATATTTTTCGGCTATTATTTTTACAGCAGTTATATATTGTTATTTTTCCTTCATTTTTCACGCACTGATCCCTTACTTCAATTTAACGGTACTAGCTTTTTCATTTTAAAACTAATACTCCCTTCGTTTCAATTTATGTGAACCTGTAGTTTAAGAGAAGAATGAAGACTTTTAGAATTTATAGTTCTAAACAAGTCAAAAAGGGACCCAGAATATTTATGTTGTTATAAAAATTTCTCGTTAAGAATAAAATTGTAAGTTTAAGCTAAATTGTTTCCAAATTTAGAAAGGGGTCATTTTTTTTGGAACAGACCAAAAAAGAAATAGGTTCACATAAACTGGAACGAATGGAGTATTAAGGAAGAAGCTAGGAGTGGGATTGTGACACAAATAGCCCGTCAGATTCAATTTTTACTTTTTTTAGTCGGTATATATAGATTATGTACATAATTATGCATATATTGTACATAAATTGTATGTATATTATATATTCGCCGGCTATTTATAGTTTAAGAGATTAAGTGAACGACTATTTGGGTTAATTCTTCCTATTTTATTTTTTTAACCCTTGATTTTATAAGCATACTCTCTCTTGAGTCCTATCTCAAGATATTAACCGTTGATTTTATAAAAGTAGTATATTTATTGGCCTTTTTCAAAAAGTAATTGTGAATTCGGCTGGCTACTTGGTCATTTGGGAATGGGGCTTTTGGGAGTGTAATTTATAACTCGGGATTGTTACACAAATAGCCAGCCAGATTTAATCTTTATTTTTTTAGTCGGTATACATAGACTATACATAGTTATATATATATTTTATATGAATTATACATATATTATATATCCGTTGGTTATTTTAAGTTTAAGAGATTATGTGGGCGGCTATTTGGGTCAAATCTTCTTTTGTTTATTATTTACTCCCTCCGGTTCACAATAAGTGACCAATTTGATTTTTCATTTTCGTTCAAAATAAGTGTCTAGTTATGTAATCAAGAAAGAATTCAATTTATTTTTACAAAATAACCCCTATGTATATATCCCTAAAAAGTTTTCTTAACCCTCAAATTAAATGTTTAATTAGGGGTAGTTTAGTCATAGTAAGTAATTTATATAGAATTTAGTATTTTCTTAATGGACGTGCTAAAAACAAATTGATCACTTATTGTGAACCGGATAGAGCAGTACTTTATACATCACTCTATAATTAAGTTCTTGGTAAAATTAACGGTGAGCCTAACTCTAGGATTTAGAAGCGTGTCGGTCCTGGTCAAATATTAAACGCACATGATTAGTGAAAATTCTCATGTATATTCTATTAGTTAATAAGCATGGTGATTAGCGAGCAGAGTTCCCAATGAGTCAGTCAGGGGGAGAACCAAAATATTGTTGAAGAGGAAGGAGAAGAATATGGGCAAGTGGTAAAATTAAACTGCCTTGAATCATGAATAATTACTATAATATAACCACTCTGTTAACTTTACAATTAGGTTTTAACAAACAAGTCCAGAACACGAGGGCTCGCCCTCCCATTTTTTATCAGTGGGTGCAGCTTGTTCCTTAGTGTCTTCAACTCTAATTCCAATCAAAGGTTTGAACCGAATTAGTAATTTGGCTTTTAGGTGTAAACAAACAGTTCTCTGAAAAAGTAATTACCTAAGTTCAACGCATAAAGTTTTACTTAATCCACAGTCATTTACCTTGAGGTGTAAACACACAGTTTTGTGAGACCATCGTACCATCTTTATTGATTCCAAAATAAGTGATTTTTTTAGTTGTTTTCACACATATTAAAAAATTCATTTTTTAACATTAATTAGCAATGAAATTGACCATATTAACATTTACTATTTCTTCACATAAAGACTCCAACACTATTTACTCCAAGGGCAATGTAGAAAAAAGTTTTAATTTATTCTTGAAATCTGGAAAAATAACTTATTTTGGACCACAAAAAGAGGCCAAAAAATCACTTATTTTGAACCGAAAAAAATATTACTCTTCGAAATTCTGTGAATTAACCGACTAACTGAAAATTAATAAGCTACTACTCATCATTATAATTGATAATTAATTTTGCTTAATGTGGCTTATGAGAAGCTCATTTATTCACTGAAGCATGCATTGGACAAGTATAACAAACATCATGCAACTAAGTATAAACTTACTGGATTTCCATATCAGTTATGTGTTTGGTTCTATGAGCGCTTCCCAGATGTTCGGAAGAAGTATGTAGCAGAGGATGAGTACCTTGATATGCCTCAGGTCCCCAGGATGTTACGTTATGTATGCGTAGGAGAGCCTAAATATCCCGAACTTTATTATATGTTCAAAACTCATGAAGTAAGTTACTTTTTTTTATTTTTGTATTTGTGTTAATATACTGATGTATTAGTTTTTTTCTCCTCATAATATACTTTTTTGTATTAAACAGAGGTATCGCGACTTTAGGGTATTGGATATAATTCCTACAGAAGAGGAATTGAATTCAATGCTTTTAATTGGGAAATTACCATGTAGCCAGATTCGTTCAAATTTAGTTAATGCAGTTCCTTTAACTGGTAAATCACCACGTACTTTGAGTCAATCAAAAGAATTGAATCGAACTCCTGTCATTGGTAAATCACCACCTACAAAGAGTCGATCAAAAGAAGCGAATCAAACTCATGACATTGGTGAATCACCACGTAGTCGGAATCAACCAAAAGAACCGAATCGAACTCCTTTTATTGGCGAAGCATCTCGTACCAAGAGTCGTTCTACCTCGTCTACATCTGACTTTGATGACGATGAATTACTTGATACAATATGCTCTGTAAGTTTTGATCTGAAGTTTTTTGGGTTCGTTTTTGTAAAAGTACAACATGTTTTTTGAGCTGAAGTTTTCTTCTATATCTGAATTTTTGTTGTGTATTTATTATAGAGGTTAACGACGGAGGTTCAAAGGCATGCAGAAAAAGAAAGAAGCACGATCGTGAATGAAGTTTTTTATAAGTTTAAAAAGGAGGAGCGAACTGCTATTGTGGATGCGGTTTTTGTAAAAGTGAAGGTAAGCTAATTTATAGAGAAGTATTTTTATTTGTGCTAATTTTATTTCAGATTAATCATTGTTAGTAATTTTTTTTCTAGGAATATTTCGATGAGAATTTTGAACAGTTGTTTATGATTGTCAACAAATCAAATGGAATGGACAATGGCAATTTTGATTTGAGTAAGCATCGAGAATATGACAGGAGGAACGACTGTTATAAAGATCCATCGGTTTTTGAAGGCGATCAACATGTTCAAGAACAAGTTGAAGAGCACAGTTCCAGTGTAGATAAATTGAGCAGAGAGGTAAATGATGAAGCACATTTATCAACTGAGAATATTGGAAGCAAGCAAGGTGCACATAATCAAGTTGTTGAGATTGAAGAACATACTGCTCATGATGCATTGCGTAAAGTCGCAGATGATAATGCTACACATAATGAAGTGGCTATCGAAGGCGTTGAACATGTTCAACAACAAGGTGGAGATGAACAATCCATTGTCTGTAGACAGAGTAAAGGTGGAGAGAAAGGTGCAGATGATCAAGTTGTTGGCACTGAAAAACATGCACCGAGTTGTGCTTTGGAAAGTGATATTGGAAATCAAGCACCTGTTGGTACTTTAAATCTAAAAGACGATCGTTATGCAGGAGTAATAGCGATTTGCAATGAACTTTTAGGTGGTGATACACAAAAAGTTGTTACTACAGGTACAAAGTGTGAAGTTTATAATATTTCAATTATACCTTAGATAGGAGCTGAAGTTTTGTTTTCATGTATTTGTGTTTTTTGTAAAAACTACAGCATGTTTTTTGGTGAATGTTTTGGTTTGTAACTGGTGAACTTTCAGCTATAGAGCTGAAGTTCTTTTTTATAACTGTCGAACTTCAACTCTAGAGATGAAGTTTTTTTTTTGTAACTGTCAAACTTCAGCTCTAGAGCTGAAGTTTTTTTATAATATCCTGTAGTGAAATTTTCACTACAGGTATAAATTTTTTCTATGTTTTATATATAGAAAAACTAGTTGATCTATTCCCCCTCTTTTATGAATATGAAGTGGAAGTTGAAACTAGTCGTGGTTCAATTGCCACAACTCAAAAACTCTCTGATGATGCTCAATTAAATGAAGGTAGAGTTGAGACCTTCCAGAGAATACTGCAATGGTCGTCGACGTTGGTTCACAATTGAATGATGCTGGAAATGCTGATATTGAGAAAGGCATGCAGCCTGGGGAAATCACAGCGGAAGACAAACGTAAAGGTATTCTATAGATCATGAATTTATTATATTTGATCAAAGTATATTTTTTACATTTTGAAATTTTATGTTTTTGAATGATTTTTCAGAAAGACTGGAGGCAACTCGAAAAGAATTGGGTGAGATTCTGCAGTAATATGAAAAAGGAGAAATACATATATTCACACATGTTGACTCACAGACAGGTGTGAAGTGTGTTGGTAATATTTTATAA